TTTTTAACAAGAAGTCGAAAATATCACTTTTTACCAAAAATGACAAAAATATTCACCAAAATTAGAGAACTGAAGATATCATCACAAAATGAACAAATCTGAGAGAGGTCTACCCAAGGTACATATACACCAAGTATCAAAGCATTCAGGCTTGTAGTTTTCAAGAAGAAGTCGAAAAAGTAAAACATTGACACGGACGACGGACGACGGACGACGACGACGGACGACGACAGACGACGACGGACAATCACTCATATGATAAGCTCCGCTCGACAAAGTCGACAGTGGAGCTAAAAAGTTGATACGGACGACGGACAGTCACTCATATGATAAGCTCCGCTCGATAAAGACGACCGTGGACAACTGGGCTGAAAAACTCACCTCATAATTCCGGACACTGTGACAGACACGTTACCATCATCGCGCATGGATAAGATAGTTTTTTGAGTGTTGGGAATGTTGGGGTACAACGGACTCTTTGTCATGGCAATCTCGTACCATGTACCCATATACTGAAATATCAAAAAATTAAAACCATTTTTATATTTGCCAAAATAATGTTATTATAGATAAATAATGTTATTGTAGATAAATAATGTTATTGTAGATAAATAATGTTAAATAATGCACAGGAATACACAATCGAACCAAGAAGTTCTTAAACATGTTTACTTTTACTGGTTCGTTTTGCCCATCGCATGTCGATGTACGTCAAGTTTGAGTCGGTTGGTCGACCTAAGGATGTTTTCTCTAAGTCGGACCCCGTGGGGAAGAATCGTCGGTTCTCCTGGATCCAAGCCAAATTCTACGACGGTAGGCTAAATGTCCTTACAGTAAGAAAACACCACCCATATATTGAATTCCTAACATAACATTTGTGGGGTTCAGTCTCGCGAGAGATTTGTGTCTATTTACGTCATCACCAGTTTCATTTTGTTTACATTATTTCGTGAATAACCGTGTTGTAAATCAATACAAACAGATATATCTATCAGCACGACGACTTGATAGATGAATATTTGGATTGAGGCACTGACAAATATTGTATACGTTTGGGATATGATGGGATGTGCATGGGCCGGTGACCGGCTTTGAATGAGCCCACGCACTACCTCGCAACTTACCCTCTCGATGTCGAAGTTAGGCTGTGCCGCTATATCTTCATTTACACGACAACTTCTGCCGGGTATGTCCTGGGTACATTCTAAACAGAGAAAGGAATGCAGATACATGTATTTACAATGCATTCGGATGATATTATTTGTTATGGTGGTGGTGTATATACGATTATAATGAAACGAAGATAGCTTAAAAATACTAAAACATATTGATCGGGAAGCGTCCTACGAACATGATTTTGTCCGTCGCTCTTGTTAGATATCAAACAGTCGAGTGTAAGAGTGTATAAAACACGTATTCTGAAAGTGTTTGTTTACACGCACGTACACCGATTGTGCAAATGCATTGTGCGTTCGAAATGCTAAATCGAGCTGCAAGAATGTGGCACTTTCAGCTGTTTCCTTTGAAGAACATATCATAGAAATGGTCAAACTGAAGTAATTTATTTTCCGGTAAAAATGGACGCGGGTAATTAGTGAAATATAGTAGTAAACAATTTTAGGAAATGATATCGTAGTGTCAGTATATTTGCCTTGGTAAGAAGAAGAAAAAAAATCACGATTACCTGACCTTTTTTAAACTATGGTGGCCACTTGGTTCAGAAAACTAGCAAAAATGCATATTTTCGAGGTTCATAATTCAAAAACTATTCTTTCCTTCGTAATTTAAACAGCCGACCACAAAAAATAGTTTAACAAAGTTTCCTGAAAGTATTGTCCCAAAAGTGTGCAAGTCGCAACCACCATTAACACATATGCGCCCTCTAGCGACAAATGTCTCAGTCAATAAATCCATAGGAGAAATGAAAGGTGGCTTTTGTCTGTACATACCCATTGGCGCGATGTTCACTTGGGCGGGATCAACGCAAACTGACCGAACGATGTCATCAATCGTGTCGATGACGTCATCTGGGAGATGAACAGTTCGACTGAGAACCCATATCATTGTTTTCCCATCCTCACAGGTACCATCTTCCAAGACAGCCCCACAACTGTAAACAACGGAATATTGCTCGTAGTCCGTGGCCAGCACCCAATAACTACCTTTAAATACAATAACATCACGATTCAATTACACAGCGACACAGATTTATGTTGGGGTCAGTTTTCTATTTTGCTCAATTGTTTGAAATCATGGTATACTTGATTCTACCCATTAGAAACATTTGGGCGATGAATTGAAGAAAAAAAATGCACAGGAATAAATCATAGCAAAACAAACTACAGGGATAAATCAAATCGCCTATTTCTTGAGATCAAAGTGAAGAAAAGCATTTTTTCCCGCCATCGCCTCTTCTAGAGTTTCTAATAGTAATCTTACATGTATTAATCTCAACAATTATGACCAAAACTGAACCGAAATTCGAATTCGAATTCGAAAGTTACTGACACCTGCAAAGTAAACCGTTTTTTTTTATGAATGCCAGGTTCATCCAGGCTTAACAGTCTCATTTGCGCAAATATATACACCCACCTTCTTTTTCAATCGATGGTTGTTGAGCGCCACCAGGAAACATTGGGGAGTTTCCGGTTCCGATACCATGTGGCGGACCTTGTCCACGTCGTTGACCTGGTGGCCGATGTTGCCCTGGTGGTCCATGGGCTGGTCCAGGCCCTTGTCCATCTGGACGTGGACCGTGACCTCCTGATCTCGGAGGTTGCATACTCACAGTTAGTTTAGCTGCTGCCTCTCCCATCGCCTGTCCGATAAAGTGGAGACTGTCGACTGGCATGCAGGCGTCTCTCCTATAAAATAGAATAGAATAGAATAGAATAGAA